AAATTTGGTAGGGAGTATATAGTGATTGGAAAGTGATGTATATACTAATACACACACATCAATACTCTTTTCTGAAGTCTGATCGGCGGTGGGCGGTGCGTAGTTAACAAGGCAAGGGATGTCAATGGGGTAAGACCCGAGTTCAATTCATAGCAACTGCGCTGGGAGACAATTATGCTAAGCATAGAGCTTCTGCATTCTTTGTTATCAATCTATGATTAAAGTCTAATTTACATCTGCTCAATGACCGTCCGACCGGGTCTGAGAGGGCGGCTCAATTTTTTTCAATAGGGATGGCCTTATTTAACACTATTTTAGATCAACTATTCATAAGGTCCAGCGGGAAGTCCAGTTAGCAGCGAGAAGGGAAGTGAGGGGGGAAACAAAACACATTTCATTAATTTAGAAAACAAAATATAGTTCATTAATTTAAAAAACAAAGACACATTTCATTAGTTAAAAAATAAAATATATTTCATTGACTTTTTTGAGTAATAATTTTCATACGTAATCCCTAATTACATGTAAATTTCTTTATTTAGCTCTTAGTTCTAAAATTTTACAAAAATGATCCTCAGTTTTTTATCATTATTCCATAAATAGCCTTTTTGGCTAAATATGACAATATTTTTTTCACAAATGTATTGACTGCATTCGAATTGGGTCAAATTCGACTGAACTCTTAGGACAAAAATTGGTCAGACATATTTTTGATCTAACTAGTATCCAACCCAAACACACTGAATTTTAGATCAAAATTTTGGTAATCGAACTCGATTGCGACTTAATAAGAAATAACCCAAAGTAATGCTTGACAACCACATTGGTCAATATATGTACATAAACAAAATACACCAAAAAAAGAAAATGCAAACCTAACGAAGAGAAGCTTATTATAAAAAGAATTGAAGTTTATTTCCAGGCGTACGTACCTCGAGAAAGATCGGATTCTTTTCCCTGGACTTTCCGGTATGAATATAATTAAAGAATGAGTGCAAACATATTTTTGCATTACCCAAATATATAGGGAGCATTATATATAGAATCATAGGTGATGAAACTGGGAGGAGGTGGTATATTGCTTCTTCTTTTTTCATTGATTCTTTACTTTTTTTTTAATCACTGAGTTTTTTTACTTCTTTATTTCTTGCAAAAAGTCAAAATCTTGAATTTTGTTGTTAAAGATTAAAATAAAGCTAAACTTTTTTTAAAAAAAGAAAGTATATTTGAAAGTGAAATTTTGATGAATTGATGACTCTAGTTCTAGAGGAAAGTGAATGAGTTGCCACGGAGCTTGTTTTAGTTTGACGGAGTACTTCTCTACAAACGTTTGATATGAGGGAAATATTGGGTACTGGTAATATTTTCCTAACTCACGTTCTTACTAAGGAACAAGTATGATACGATAAGACCGCTGCAAATATCATGTGCATGTTCTATTTCTTGTCACGAATTTGTGATTAAAATCCAATTTATCTCTTCACAATGACCGTCCGATTGAGTCTGAGGGGGTCCTCGTGGATGGGGCTCATCATTTTTTTTCTCTAAGTCGAGTTCATTATTACCTTTTGTTACCGCTTTTAACATCATTCTCAACAATACACGGGGTAAAAAAATAGCTTTCAGGGTGTTCGGAAGAAAAACATTCTCCTTGTTCGTTTGAATTTGGTTAAGGTTTAAAAAAGGCATTTCTTTGTTCGATTTATAATTCGGCGGATTCAAATTAATAACTTGGCCACTCCGTTGAAAAAAAATTAAAAAATTAAGGTGTCTAGATTCAGACAACGGCGGGAGCAACGTACTTCATGCGCATTTGTGACCATTCATAACGTGGGAAAAATCACAGGGGTAAAAAATAGCTTTCAAGGTGTTCGGAAGAAAAACATTCCCCTTGTTCGTTTGAATTTGGTTAAGGTTAAAAAAAGGCATTTCTTTGTTCGATTTATTATTCGGTGGGTTCAAATTAATAACTTGGCCACTCCGTTCAAGAAGAAATTAAAAAAATTAAAGTGTCCAGATTCAGACAATGGCAAGAGCAACGTACTTCATGAGCCATTCATGGCTTGGGAGAAAACACATCGGCTCGTGCACATTTGTTGTATAGGCCCAACACGCAATTCAAGCCCATGGAGATCCCCCTTAAAATCAATTTATTGGCAATAGGATGGGGACTATTAGATTTATATGTTAGAATTCTTTTTGTTTCATTTCCGGTGTGGGATAAATATCCCAACACCCACCCCTCCCCCCCTGCCCCTCAAGTATACCTGCATGGCCTTGCAGCCTTGCAGGTTGCGCTGGACATTTTTTCTTTCCTGGTGGCCGACCAGTTCAATAATAGACTAGGAGTTCAAACTCAGATCAAACGTGCTCCGATACCATAATAAAATTCTGATGGTCAATTCATAGCATGGGAGGACAGTATGACGACACACGTCGATTCGTGAGCATTTACGGTATAGGCCCAACCCATAAGCCCATTAATGTTTCATCCTACGCTAAAACTAATTGGCGATAGAAGAAAGATCACTAGACTTATATGTTACACTTCTTTTTATTTCATTTTCGATGTGGGAGAAATCTCTCAACAGAAGGAAAGTGTTATACAGGTTGTACTCTTTTTTCTTTGAACAAGATTTGTCCTACTAGGTTTCCATTCGTATGAAGGTTTTTAAAGAGAAAACATAACTGGTCTTATAGTATCAGTTAACATAAGTCATGATGACCCATCCAACGTTATCTAGTAGTACAATATTGATAGTGTATAATGAAAAATGATACTATCTCCATCTTAAAACATTTTTTCTCATTTTAAGAAAACTAAATTTTAGGGGATGGATAAATTTGGCTTTGACTTCCAACAATGTCCCTCCTTCCCACAAACTCAATTCCCACCTAATTTAAAAAATTGTCCCTCTTTTACCTATAATTCGCATGTTCAAATGGCCACCGACTTGGCTGGAGCGGTGTCGACGACTGAGCAACTTTCTCAATGGTGGCAACAATCTCTTTTAAAATATTGATGACCGACGGTCACGATCTACACAAAACGCTCTATCTAGAGGAGACTTAAGGGGCTCGCTCTTTTCCTTCTGGCTCGAAGGCGACGAGGGCAATGCTTCAGATTTGTTCGGCGGTGTGCTCTACGACGATCTATTCCCCTTAGCAGTGGAGATCTATTTCACTTGGCTCAGTGAGGTTTGCTTGGTGGTAATCTATTCCCCTTGGTTCAGTATCGGTCTTCCTGGCGGTGATATATTCCCCTTGGCTTGGAGGAGATCAAATTGATGCGAAGAATTTTTGGTGTGTCGTTTGATGCTGAAAACACCCGATCAAAAAGAGATGTAAGTGAAATGGGATGGAATGTAGAAAAGTAAATGTAATGAGTATAATGATGGAAGCTAAGTGCGGATGTCGAGTCCACGAGGATAGCGTGATTAGTTAGGAATTGAGTGTAAGGTGTAACTAAATACTAATTAATATCGAATTGTAATATGTGAATATAGGCCTAGAGATAGAGAAGGTGAATCATAGCAATCGTGTACTTGTGGTCAGGGTATTTTTTTTGCCGTGATATCAATCTTGTACTTGTGGCCTATTTAAATGCTAATTGGGCAAGTTGCCCCATTACTCGTTGTTCACTCACAGGATATTTTGTTCTCCTTGATGGTTCCCCTGTGTCGTGGCGTACTAAGAAGCAGACAATTGTGTCCCATTCATCAGTTGAAACCAAATATTATGCTATGGTCAATGCTTGTGCTGAAGTTCGTTGGATACGTGTCATCCTCGTAGCATTAGATGTTCCATGTGTATCCATTCTTAAGTTATATTATGACCCTACTTTTCATGAGCGTTCTAAACATATTAACATTAATTATCATATTGTACGTGAATGCATCCAGCGTCAACATATTGTCATAGCCTACGTTCCTACATGTCTATGGACTACAAATATCTTCATCAAAGATCTCTATACTCCCTTTTTAATGCTTATTGTCCAAGTTGGGCACGTTTTATGTTCATGCTACAACTTGAAGGTTGTAATAGAGGATATTCCTATATTATTTGTATTTATTGTGTATAGCTTGTTTCCTTGCAGGATTATGTTTCCTTGGTTAGTACGGTAACTTGATGTATTATATATGATGGATGGACATATCAATACAAAGGAAGCCATTCATTTTGTAAATTCTACACATTGAAAAGCGAAAGTGGGAATAACATTTTAGGAGGGAGGGAGTATATCTGAAGAGAAATATTAAATATTAGAGATATATATCCCTTCCAGATAATTCAAAGACTTGGTTATAAATGTATTTAGGGTTAGTTCCCAACCACTTAAGGATCTGTTTGTTTGGATTGTAGAAATACAGTTGGATGTTAAAAGAAACTAAAAAAGTTAAAAGCAAACTAAAGGGAATTGGATGAAAATGGAAGAAGTTGGAAAAGCATGAAGAAGTTAGACAATGTTGAAAAAATAAAGTGTTAAAAAACAACTCAATTAAATAATAACCAAAATAATAAGAAAACTAATTAAGAAACAATTCATATTTGTCTTTGTTTGAGGTGGTATGTTATAAATTTGAATATATGATATTATTCTAACTTCATTATATATAAATACCTTTTTAGTCATTGTTGGAAGAAACTAGAAGAAGTTGCAAAGCTAGAAGGAGTTGGAAAAAGTTTGAAGTTAATTTTTTCAACCCAAGCGAACAACCTCTAAATATATATACTCTATATACCATAGATTAGACTTAGGCTATGTGCAATTCACCTGATCTGAATGGATATGATCTGATTAGAATACATTTTGATTTGATCTAATATGAATGTAGTTATATATAAAACTATTTTTGATTTGATCTGATTTGATCTAATCTGAACTAATTCTAAAAAGAAAACTAAAAGTAATAAGTAACAAGAATAAGTTAAAGAGAAAATGACATTCGGTAACAACATATCAGTTAATATTGCTAATAAAGGCATTGTAGTATAAGCCATTATTTAGTATTTTAGTTAATGATGGATCTATGTATCCCCTCATTTTGCTTAGAGTGATTATGGAGCTAAGGACAAAAACATGAATCCTGTAGAAACAAATATTATTACTTCTTACAAAACATGAATGTAGTATAAATTTAATTAGAGCCAGGGGAGATTATACAAAGGAGTAACAACACTTTTGGTATGGAGATAATTATGAAGAGCATCTAACCCAGAATCTGTCCCAAAGCCACTCATCTTGTATCCTCCAAAAGGAATCTCACGCCCCATTACTATGTAACAATTTATCCAAACAATCCCAGCTTTAAGTGACCTCGAAACAGTGTTGGCTGTGTTTAAGTCGTTGGTCACTATTCCTGCCGCTAGCCCATACTTTGTAGCATTTGCTCTCTTAATGGCCTCCTCCACCGTCCTTTACAATAAATAATATTTTTTTTTTAAAAAAACAATGTTGTTATTTTAAAAGTACTACAAAATTAATAACGATAATCAATTTAAAATGTTCATTATAATGGTTAACTTTGAACTTACTTGAATTTAAGCAGCGAAATTACGGGTCCAAATATTTCATCCTTTGCAATCAACATAGAGTCCTATTGAAATGTGTACATAAAAGTTACCGTATTGAAATATCTGCAAGATTCTTTTAACCTTAGAAAAAATGACCCAAACATGATTCGGAAAATTAAATAGGTTAAACCTCTTTTCCATGTCCAAATATAGATTAAAAAAGAATAACATTCTAAACAAGTTTATTTATTTAAGAAGGTAAAAATATATATATATATGTAGTATATATATACCTCAACATTTGAAAAGATTGTTGGTTGAATGTAGTATCCCACTTCGTCATGACGTTTGCCCCCGGCTAACAATGTGGCTCCTTCTCTTTTCCCATGTTCGATATAAGCTAATATTTTCTCAAATTGATTTTTATCAACCTAAAAAAAATACATTGATGAGATACACATATACTCCGTATAAAATTTGGACAATTAATTATTTATCAATCTTTCGGTTCCACGCAAGAAGGTTGTACAAGAATTCAGAAAAAAGATAAGATTATGTAGTTGATAGTTATGTTAAAAAGTGAGATAAAGTAAAAATGAATATAAGTCATATAAACATAACCAAATAATACTCTCTATAGTATGAGACATAAATAATAGGATATATAGAAAAAATAAGTAATAAAATGGGGCCTTGATGATTAGAGTCGGTAAGAATTGTCAAATTTCGAATGGGACATTGAAGCACACCAGGCTATCGCAACCAGCCTGTATTAATATTAAAATTATTAACAATGAAATGGATGATATATATATGATGTGAAAAAACCTGGGGGCCTTGATGAGTTGATGGATGGAAAGGATCCCCAACAATTGTCATTTTCACCTTCTCAACTAATTTCTTTGCAAACTCATCATAAATCCCTTCTTGAACAAAAATGCGAGAGCTCGCAACACAAACTTCACCCTGAATATATCCATCCATATGAAGTCAATAATATAATATATTTAATATAATCCTTAGAAACATCAATTTCTCCCAAAATTAAAAGTAAAATTTACGTTGAATATGACGAAAACATAAGTCATTTCCCAATGTAGGACTTAAACTTTTTTATTCTCTAAGTAAGACTTAATAATGACTAGCGAGAAGAATAATGTCCAAGTGATAACTGGAAATTTAGTTGAATAATGACTAATAGATAATGACCAATGGTCATACATTGGAAAATAAAAACATATGGTCCTATTTTAGGTAAATTACCCAAATTAAAAGGCATCTAATATACAGAAATGATGTCGACAATAAAATATGAGTCCTAATTAAGAAGAAGAAAAATAAAAGAGTCTTAGCTTAATTAATTGCCTTATTATAAAGACTCCCAAATTGTGCAACACTTGCAGCCATATCAATGTCTGCATCTTCAAACACAATGAGAGGGTTCTTTCCTCCCAGCTCTAATGTCACTTGTTTTAAATTGCTCTCTCCCGCCGCCTTCATCACCAGCTTCCCAACTTCGGTTGATCCTGTAAAGCTCACCTAAAAAACATTGGCCACACCAACCAATCAATCAATATGTATGTATGTTTACACACACACACACATATATATATAGACACACACACAACATAGATGAGCGTGTGATTGACACACTTTGAAATCTGACACACAGAAGTCATTGGTGCAATATTTTTAAAAGTTCAAGAGACACTGGTACTAAGTTTAAAGTTCATGGGGATCGATGTAGTTTTTGAAATGTACAATGGTAAATGGGGCAAAAAACTCTTTAAATAAATAAATATCATAAGCATATGGATATGATATAGTAAAACAGCGTCTTAAAAGAATCTAGAGAGTAATTCTTTTTTATTTTTTATTATAATAATTTTTTTCATTAAAATATGATATGTTAGGAAATTAATTTCAGAGCCTTCGAAAATAAGTAGACAATTTGATTTAGGGGCTGTTTGGCAACTTCTGAATAGGTAAGTGCTGAACCAGTAAGAGGTTTGAACCATTAAGTGCTGAACCAGTAAGAGGTCTGAACTATTAAGAGCTAGTATATTGCTTAACTATTCAGAAGCAAATGTCTGATCAATTTAGATAAGAGGTCTTAATCATTCAGACTCTGTTTAATACTTAACCATTCAGAGGCAAATCTCTTAACCATTCAGACATCTGAACCATTAAGATGCTGAAACAAACAGTCTGAACCATTAAGTGCTGAACCATTCAGACATCTGAACCATTAAGAGGCTGAAACAAACAGCCCCTAGTTTTCGTAAATGTTAATGGGCTTGGTTAATGAATTCAAAATCAATATTAGCATGAACATAATTAATAAAGAAATAAGCCCACTGCTTACTTTGTCAATATCCATATGAGAAGCAATGGCAGCTCCAGCCGTTGGCCCAAATCCTGTAACTACGTTCAACACTCCAGCCGGGATACCAGCCTGTTTCATTATAATATACTCCGTGAGATATTTGGTTTTTTTATTCTTCTCTTTTACTTGAGTTATATATTTACCTTTGTCCAAATTAAAAGTCTTTTTTATTTTATTTATGACACGTATTTTTGTATGATCTACCATCTATACTCTCATTGACAAGTGCTTTCTCCATCCCAGAAAAAGAAGGATATTTGACTAAAGTGTCAAAATAAGGAAGGGATAATTTTGATGTAATGGGTAAAAAAAAGATGTGATGTGTAGATTATAAGAAAAAAGGTATGATGTGATAAATAGGATATGAAAAAATAAGGGGTAAAAGTCGTTTTTTAAATAAATGGGAAGGAGATTGTAAGAAACCATTTTTTTGAAACGTGAAGGACTTTTTGGAACAGAAGCTAAGGAGTATTGGATAATGACTCATTATATGAAATATGGTATATGTATACCTTGTGGGCGAGGTGAGCATAGTATAGAGCGGAGTGGGGAGTTTGTTCAGCAGGCTTGACAACCATGGTACACCCCGCAGCTAATGCGGGGCTGACCTTAGCGAAGAACGATATGGTCGGAAAGTTCCACGGGATGATCATTCCGGCGACCCCTATCGGCTCCCGCAGCGTGTACGCTTGGACCGGCCTCGACGTCTTCAGCGTCTCCCCGTGGATCTTGTCCGCCGCCCCGGCGAAGTACCGTAGCGTCGCGGCGGCTTCCGGAACCTCCACCGCCTTCCCCACGCTGTACAGCTTCCCGGCGTCCGTTGTGTCCAGCGCCGCCAGTTCCTCCGCGTTCTCTTCGATCAAATCCGCCAGCTTCATCATTATTCTTCCCCTCTCCTATATATATATCCATCATCACCATGTAATTAATTAAATAATTAATTAGATATATTCATGTAATTAGTTAAACCATCCGTCCGGAAATGATTAAGTTAAAGGGAACTTTCCAATTTTGCACCTGATGTGATGGATAAAGTAAGATGTGATAGTTTGGTTATTAGTGAAAAAGGTTTGATGTGATATGTAGGGTATGAAAAAGTAGGGGTAAAAGTAATTTTTTAATAGAAAGTGAAAGTGTATTTGAGGAATTAGAAAAAAACGAAAGGGGAATGGTTTTATGGAACGGAAGGAGTAAATAGTTTCCCCAAGTAGTATATGTTTTATTTCCCCAATGTAGAATTTTATAGGACGGAGGAAGTAAGTTTTAGTACTCCGTACTATTTAATGCAAATTTCACTTAATAATTTGAAGCTAGTATGGTAAGGGATCAAGAGTACATACTGATCCGGACAAGCGGGGCCAGGGGCCGTGGTCGAAGGCGTGACGGGCAGCCTTGACGGCCAAGTCGACGTCGTCTTTGTCTCCCTCGGCGACCCTCGCAAAGGCTTCACCGGTCCTCGGGTCAATCGTCTCGAAGGTCCTGCCGGAGAGGGAGTCAACGAATCGGCCATTGATGAAGAGCTGGGTGAACTTGATATCTACAGGCAACTTGGTGGTCATGGCCGCATCCATTATACTATTATTATATGCTGCTTTAGTTAGAGTTTCAAATAATTATCAATTAACGTTTGGGTAGTATATATAGCAGCAGCTAGCCAATAATATATCTTAGCTATGTGATCGGATTCGATTTTATTTGGGAGGGAGAGAGGGGGTGGGGGGTTGCAGCTTTTACGTCTCACGCGAACAACTTTCGCGTTTATAAGTAGACAATTAACAAAATGGTGCGTGCATGCGGCCGGTGTTTATTTACACAAGTAACAATTGTGCGTGCATGCGGCCGGTGTTTATTTACACAAGTACTACCTCCCTACACAGTCGCGGATCTACTTAAAATTATTTTTTTTTAAAGTTATGTATATGTTCCCCAAACAAAAATTAATAAAACCCCATCTAATTAAGTTAGTTTTAAAGTTTTTATTTAATTCTTTTAAAACAGTTTCTCTTTCATTTTTTTCCTAAAACACTTCCTTTTTTTTTAAAAAATGACTAATATATCTAAATTAAGTCGTTGCAATATACTAAATTCAATTTGGATTGATATAATAAGTCATTTAAATGATTTGTCTCTCTTTTTTCTTCATTGATAAAGATAAAATTAGAAGGTCAAACTACGAAAATAAATCCTTCCCAAATCAAAACAGGAATGTTCGAAACAAAATTTATTACTCAGGTATTTTTTTGTCAATTCACATTGTCTATTAAAAAATCTAGGGGCGCTGTCCTCGGACCCCGACTAATGGTGCCCCCATCTAGCTAAAATCTTGGATCCGCCACTGTCCCTACAGTTGACATTAGTAAAAAGTGTCTAGATCCGAAGTCGATTTCTGATAACAAAAATGTTAGGGGTACATCAAAAGTGTATCCCAAATGTACCTCACCCCCTCCATCACCACATAATTTGGCAAGTAAAATAATAAATAAATAAATAAATAAATAAATAAATAAAAATCAGTGGTAATGGAAGGAGTGGTGTACATATGGGATACACTTTTTGGTGTATCCCTAGCATTACTCTTCTGATAATTGCACTAAGAAACAATTATGTTAAGTATAAAACTTCTGAAAGTACATGTTAAATATATTCTATATTTAATACTCCCTCCGTCCCACAAAAAATTCCCATTTTGATGTATTTTTGGCCAAACAGTTACACGCTTTGACCATAAATTAAATATAATCTAAATAAAGAAATGCTAAAAAAATTTGAGATATCAAAACTAGATCCTAAGATGAATCCAATTACATTAAATTTATTTTTTATATAATTCAATGATCCTATTAAATTTATTTTTTTGACTACACAATTTGTAGTCAAAGCGTGTGAATATTTGACTAAATACTATTCAAAATGAGAACTTTTTTGTGGGACAGAGGGAGTATATATATTGTGTATATGGTAGCTTTCCTTATGTATAGGATTTTCCTTATTATGTTTTACATCCTTGTTGTAACTATAAATACGGAACTTTGTTCTCTCCTTGTTCAATATAGAAAATAATAATTCTTCATGGTATCGGAGCCTCGTATCCGAACCTAGTCTCGTAACCCTCCGTCTCCGAAACCCTAGCGCCGCCCTCTCCCTCTCGGCGCCGCCTCCTTCTCGCTGCCCGGCACACTGCCGCCAGCGCCCCCCTCTCTGCCGATCTCTCTGCCCAAGTCTACCTTGCGATCTTAGGAGAGAAATGAGAATGATATGAATATGGTGTTTTAGATTGTGAAATCTAAGGGTCAGGATTGCATCAAAATTAAGTGAAAGAAAATGGTTTGAAAATGCATAATGTCGAAATGCACCAAAATCCTTTGAAAATGCACTGTCTCAGAATCTGAGCGCAAGATGCAATCTGATGAGCCACACGATGCATCAGATCCAACAGATAGATTTTATTCTTATTTCTCTCCACAAGGTGCATTCTCACGGGAAGCAACCCACACAAACACTCACACACACATATACATACATACATACATACACACACACACACATACATACTATACATACATACATACAAACATACATACATACACACATACATACATACACACATACATACATACACACATACATACATACATATACCCCGGAGTATATATTAAGAAGTGCTATATGTGTAATATTGAATGACTTAGAGTTCTACGTTGGGTGATTTCTTTAATAATAATAATAATAATAATAATAATAATAATAATAATAATAATAATAATAATAATAATAATAATAATAATAATAATAATAATAATAATAATATTAATAATAATAATAATTTATTACAACAAGAATTAGAATGAGAATAATATAAAAATACAAACAATATTCTTAAAGTTTCTTTAGATTTTCCAATTTTTTCTAGTTTTTTTAGTTTCATTTAATCTTTTCAAGTTTTTTCTAGTTTCTTCTAATTTTTTTATAGTTCTTCTAGTTTTTTCCAATTTTTCTCATTTCTTATAGTTTCTTTAATTTCTTCCAGTTTCCTCTAAAAAAATTTCAATATCCAATTTTTTTTTCCAATCACAACAAGCAGGTTTTTAATACGGAGTATATAATGGAGGGAGTACTAGGCGAGTGTTGGATCTTGGGCAAGCGTTCTTGCACGGGCCGGGAGCGGGGATACCCTCCACGGTATCCATCAATTCCCCATCCGCATCTCGCATTCAATTGCATTTGGAACTTTCCGGTGGACTTCACATGTCAGAGGACGGAGAGGCTAGAGGTCTCGCAAGTCTGATTTTCAGGTAAGTGATTTCTTCGTGTTTAGCCCCACTTTCTATAGATTACATTTGAAAAGCCTGTACAGTTCCTCAGCTTGGATTCAAGTTCTTCATTGCAAGAGCTTCTAGATTAACCTAGATTTAAAATCCAATTGGAATAAATCTAAGTAACCACAACGTTTTGGGATTACCATGACCCCAACTTTGCACAAATACGAACAAATTTAGCTAGATTCTCCTAGTTTTTGTCAAATGCAAACAGTTTGAAGTACTAGGGTAGAATTCAAATTTACCCTTCGAGGTTCGTAGAAACTATTAGGTGTACTCTATTTGTACAAATTACAGACTATTACATTGAGTTTGAGACAAAGTTAACAAATTTGCACCCCAAGTTAATTTTGACTTTGGAGTTGACTCCAAAGTCAAAATTAACTTGGGGGTGCAATTGAAGGGGGTGGGGGGGTGTGTTCGGTTTGGGGCGGGGTGGGGGGTTTACCGGGAGGGTTGGGGGTAGGAACCGTCAATATTACGAACGGGGCACCAGAGCACCCCCGGGTTATCCCATGACATTGATTCCCAATGTCATGGGAACCAAGAGGATATAATATACACCCAGAGGTTGGGTTGCTAATTACATTTACCCTATCATTGTTGTTTAAGATAGTTCTCTCTATGGCTCTCATATACCATAAGACACCCTTGTGCCCGCCCTTATGATATAATTGAGAGGATAAACTCATACGGAGTATAATATTGAGGAGAAGACAACCATATATATACAAACTAAATGAACTAAATACTGGAAATAGAATCACTAATTATGGCCTCTATATTTATTCTTAGAATAATTTTGATTTATTGAACCATTCAGGTACTATACCATTCGTAACATCTTCAGTTTACACTCTTCATGTTATAATGGAGATGAAATTTTCCGCTAGCTAGCCGAGGCTCACTCGTATGCTCCTTTTGGATTGCGGATTCACCTAGGTTGCTTCAAATAACCTAGATTGGGAGAAATTATATTAATCTGAGTCACAATATTTTTAATATATTGTTTGAATAATATTACTTCTATCCGGTTGAATTTTGGTTTGGATTGACGTAAAAAACATACCGTTTACCCCGATTTTCCAAGTGAAATGGGGTGAATGGGGATGAATGGGCCAACACTGTTAACTTGCATTGATAATGTCAAATGTGTCTAGATGAAGTGAATTGTATTATTTTACATTTTTATGAGACTCACCTAGTTAAAGCTCAATGCAAAAAGTTTTGGCTCAAATGACATGGACGCATGATATATTGTTAATCCTAATTAGTACTCAAATGCTTGTCCTATTTGGATGCTTCACATTGTCATAAAGGTAGGTTGTTATTTGAAGCCATTGACTTTCTCCCATCGCACATATTAGACAACTACTAGTAATTGTTAAGCTACATGACATTCGTTTCCAAAACAATGTATACTATTTAGTTGAATCATTATGTACTCGGTAGTTCGTACAAAATATGCCCAAGATATTGGTTATAATAAGAAATCATTATATATGCCGTTTAGTTTCTTCTATTTTAGTGTCCGTGCTTGCCCTTAGGAGGTCTTCAGTCCTCTACCAGTTCTAGCCTCTAGATTAGCTGACCATAATATTACTCTTTGAATGTTTTATATTAGCCTTATTAGGAACATAACTTATTTATTACTCCGTATTTAGTATTTCCCAGACCCCACAAAGTTGGGATTATAGCAGGTTTGATGTTGTAATATTAAGTACTCCCTTTGCCTTGCTGCAATTTGACAACCTTTAGTGTTATTTACGCTAAAAGTTGGCAAGTTCTAGTAGGATGGAGGTAGTGGTTGTTGATCATTTCTTTCAAAATCCTGTTGTTTTTTCATTCATTGCAACGGCATATCCTTTATACGGACTCATGTTGCATGTATGCCTATTTATGCTCTGTTTACAATTGTTCATTCAACAATACAACTTCTACACTGAAGTATAACGACATGTTTTCTTCAGATTAATGTTATTACTTATTACTTATTCTTATTGGAACCAAATTAGATAAGAAAGATTCTAATCATAGCTGAAGGTTTCAGATCAAATAAAAATAGCTTTGGGCTATGTTCCGTTCTTCTAATCAAATTAGATTTGATTTGAATCTTTTTTAGATCTGTAATGATATGAATGGATCTGATATAATCAAATTCAAGTATAATATTATTTTTGTTATTCACTATTGTTTGGCTTTGGAGTAAGATAGAATGACTCTTAAACTATCTGTGCATCTTTTGATAATGAAGTGCATCTTTTGATAATGAAGTAACGGTTAGTCAATGCAACTTTCGGTGCTCATCATGAGTCATCTGGAAACAGCTGCTCTATGTTTTAACATATGGGTCAAGTTGTGTACATCTGACCCCCTTACCCCGTAAGTTGTTCTTTTATTATTACTATTGTTGTTATTATGATTATGATTATTATTTTCATTATTATTATAGTTATTACTATTATTATAACATTTTATTTCAACACTTTTAAGGTGTGATTTGATCTAAATGTATCTGATCTGATCTAAATGAATCTGATCTGAATGGATTTGATCTAATATGAATGGATAAAGAATAAGTAATAAACAGAAACATTAAGTTGAACAGAACGCACGTAATTTTAACTAGTATTAGATAGACCAGACTAGAAAGATTCAAATCAGACTCAAAAGTTTTAGATCAGATCACAAGATAAGATCAATCAGACTAAAAAAATTCAAATCAGCCCCGAAAAATTCACATCACATCATATTAGACCGTAATAAATTTAGATCAAGACTAATAAGTTCTGACGAAAAGAACATGCCCTAAGACTATAATTGGTCTATTTTCATCCCGAATTCACAAAATGCACTGTGTAAGATATACTCCCTCCGTCCCAAAAAGATTTACACCTTTCAAAAACATTGTGTCCCACAATCTCCTACCCATTTCTATTAAAAACCACTTTTACCACTTACTTTTTCAAACCCTACCTATCACATCATACCTTTTTCCTAACAATCTACACATCACATCCTACTTTTACCCATCACATCAAGGGTATTTTTGGAAAGTCAACACAAAATTATCCCTCCCTTAATTTCTACTTTAGTCAAAATGGGTAACACTTTATGGGACGGAGGGAGTATAAGTTTTACTGGGTGTATTTAAGGTTTTATTTAATCCCATTGAGCAAATTGCAAAGGACACTATGTCATTTGTTGGGATTATTTGTCATTTTATTTTATCTATAAATTTCATCGGAGGGACTGGTCATGTGTTCAATAAAAATGTATGTGAGTCCTCTACCAGCACCGTGACTTCTATACACCAACTGATTCCTCGTCAATATATGGTAAACCCATTCTCAGTTAGAAACGTCACAACTAGGCATAAAGAGAATATATTTTCTTTCCATTCTGAGAGATTGAGCTGGGGATAAGTGCATAAAGAAATCTGTCATAGAAGAAGAGACGACGACCGAACAAGACATGCTGTCAAGCTGGCGTGAACAGAAATAAGGTAAAACCGCTCTTTTCATTTGTGTGTGTGTTTTTTTCCTTCTTGTTTCTCATTGTCGGCATGATGTTAAATTTGTATTTTTCATATCTGTTAAAGTTAAGAAAGTGTAAGATCTGAATACACAACCCCTTCCAAGACCCCACTTTGGGTGATCTTTCTCGATCTTGTTGTAGTAGTATGGTGTTCCTTGAAGGACAACCATTTCAAATTTTGAAAATTAGCTCATTTTAAATCATATACAGCCGTCTCTTATTCAAAATTACAAACAATTTAAATGTCTGTTTAAAATTTAGAGTTCAAGACTTCGACTGTTGTTGACCGTTAATGTATATGTCCTCAAGGGTTTTAGTCTCCCTATGCTGTTTTTATGTGTAGTAATACTTTGGGTTCTATTGTTATCAGCTTTCTGGCCTTGCACTGATTTCTCCTTGCCCTAGATATGAAAAAGGATCCAGAGTTCCTGGAGAGGTGGGAATTTAGGAGGAGAGGTGACGAGCTTAGTTCTTCCAGCGATGACGACTCAAAGTCAAGTTCCAGTTGTGATGCACATGATAAGGAACAGGATTTACTTTCCTGCATGGTTTTGTCCCAACGTGTAGAGTCTAACAATGAAATTAGAGCTTGGAAGAGGAATCATCAACTTGACAATAAATTTAGATGTGCGAAAGCTGCAAAGAAACAGAAAGACACAAAAAAGAAGCGGAGGAGGGTACATGCCCAGACTGCAATATGGGATGATCTAAAGACTTTCCGAGAGTCTGTCTTAGGGGAACTTAAGGTTGCTAGAGAGAAAATGTTCACACATATGAAAGATGACATGGAAAAACTGGTCCCCCGGGAATCGGCCTCCAAGTCAAGAACAAAGCCACAAAATACCATAAAAAGACAGCCAAAGAAGAAAAGTGAAGTGTGTAGAAGAGATAACCGTCGCTCCCGAAAACCAACGGTTGGATCTCTGAAGAAGACAGTGGATCTTGATTCAAATAGTTGTCACATAAAGGGCATTAAGCATGAAGAAACCCTTAAAGCTGTTGTTGGATCTTGCAATGAGAACCAAATGAAATCAAATTTCTCTTTGAAAAAGCCAGTTTGTGTAGTTAATGACTCTGGAAATGCAATTTCTGCTTCATATCCAGCTCTGTCAACTGTCTTGAACAACATGGTCCCTTCAAGGAATCAACTTCAAACCAGTGTGATTACAGCCGACAAAGACTCAAACGTTCAAAAGTGTAGTTTGGGTATGCAAGCAAAGTATCATCCCAGACACATTCTCAGTTCCCAGAATGATACACCTCCTGGAAGTTATTATGCTCAGGTTTACCCTAAAAGTCCTTACCTTTATGGCCAAAACAACATGTACAATGCGTCCAACCTTTCGAGTCAAGTCCCCCCTGAGAAACTCTTCTCGGGGGAAATCTTGCGAGTGGCTAATAACCTGAACAACCATATGGGTTATGGAAGAAATGGAGGGCCTGTATCATTTACGTCCCAAAATTACAGCCACTTCTTTACTTAGAAAAAAATTACTTTTACACAGTTTTACTGTGGAAAGTGATGTGATTTGCAGGGCATGGGAAGATTGTGACCAGATGGTATGTGGTTTCTGCTCCTTATTTTGCTGCAGTGTGGAATGGCCAAATGTCTCCATGTCTTCACGTTAAATGTGCCCCCATCTAATGCATACTTTTGAAAGATTTATTTGTACTGTAATTTAGAGGGTCTTTGACAGTTTGTCACTTTCTAATTTACCCTTGAAATATTATTCGTAAAATTCATGTTGCAGTAAAATGTTTAAAATATTTTACATCTTCTTTACTTTATAGTACTCCGTATAAAATGCTACTTTAGCATTTACCTTGGGTGCACTGAAAGTAGAGCTGGGAAAAAAATGATCCGACTTGTTTTTGCTCGAGATCTGACCCAAAATACTGGATTTTGGATAAAGGTTTTGCCGGTCAAAGTGTAATCCGGGAAATCTTGAAAAGTCAAATTAGAAGAAAAGTCAATAACTTACCATGAGAAGTTGGGAACTAGTTTGGGGAGGTGGGGAATATAATATTATAATTTGCAAAAGAAATAAGGGCTCCCCATCCACGCATCATCAATAATTATTGATGACCAAAACCCACATGGTTAGGTCCAGTCCAAACAGATCGGACGTTGCCCGAATTTGTTTATTAGTGCATGCATGTGGGAGGAGGCATTTATGTACGTGCCCCCTAATGCTTTGTCTCTTTTGAAAATTACCCACTTTTGTTTTTTTGGTTTTTCTGGCTTGGCCACCCACCACACCCAAACATGACCATTTTTGGAATGTTACGGACTATTGGCTTTTTTCCTTTGTTTTTATCCTTTGGTTTTTGGGTAGTTTTTTTTGCTTGTATGAGGATTAAGGATTGGAAATGTCATTATTCCAAAATATTAAGAATCAAAATCACATTTCTACAGATGTTCTAAAAATCATACCGAACACGAAAAAAGCATTTGGGCCGGCCGTGGTCTGCTGCTTGTGTCAATTGCTTGTGTATTATGGTAGCTCTGAATAAACTCAATAAAGTGATGAGGTATTAATACGTATTAAATTTTGATTAGTTGAGATATAAAAAATGAAAAAATAACAATAATGGGGATGGAAAAGCCTAAACGGAGTGATGGTGGGCACTTAAAGTGGAGCATCGTCCTTCACAATGCATGTGTAATGAAAGAGGGGCGTGATGAAAGGTGATCAAGAACGTAACTACTCTCAGTGTCTTAAAACTTTCTTTTCAATTAGCATTCGCACGGTCAAATTTTAATCATTTTGTTTATCTATTTTCTTTAGGTATTTGATAAAATAATATGGTTATGTCAGCTCTTGTTTTATATAAGTTTTAATGTACTTTTCAAATATATAGTTTTTATTTTTAAAATTTACATCTAAAATCATATAAATTAAATTGAAAATAAATTCAATCAAATTTAATAAATCGAAACGGGAAGAAAATTATAGGACGGAGGACGGGAGTAAAAAATTATGGAATGAATCCATAATTTTTTATGGATTCATTTTTGGGGTCCCACCAAACCGAATGATAACCACCACTACCGTCCGTCAACACCAAAACAGGAAGCGCACTGGATCTACAAGTCTGCAACAACAACAACAAGTAACAACCACAGTCCCCGCTTGAATTTGATCACTTCTTCGCTGCATTTATTTATTACTCCACATTACTTTCCATTATTTTAATACTTCTTGATAACAATAATTTCTCCCAAATGAAAAGATTACATCTTTCCATTATTGGAGGAGGAGGGAGAGGAGGAGGAAGAGGAGAAGGGCCTTTTAAATACTTTCTCCTTCTTCTGTTATTCTACACACCCAATTCTAGGGTTTATCCATGCATTGCATTCTCCCCACTTTATTACAGAGCTTCTTCTGACTGAAATCCGATGGGTTTATGGAAGTTTAGCAGTTTGATTTGCGGATTTTCAGTTCTGTTGGTAATTTCCGGCGTCCATTCTGGAGTGAGGGCAGGTGACATTGTTCATCAAGACGATTTAGCCCCGAAGAAGCCCGGATGTGACAACGATTTTGTGCTGGTACTACTTCGTGTTCTGCTCCTTTCATTACTATTTTCTGATTTATATTTTCTTTGATTTGTTTTTGAACTGTGTTTCAATGTGCAGATATTGGTTTTGTGCATGCATTAGTGTTTTTTTCTTAAAATAGGATATATCTTGTTATGATCTTGACTATAATTTAGCTCCACGAGAATGGTATTGATCTTTGATCCATATATTGGACTCTACTTAGCTTAATGTTCATTTGAGCTATTAAAGTTGTAATCTTTCAGATTAAGATCTCACATTGCTTCTGTCCTTCCTGCTTCTGCATTTACCTTTTACCATTTCACTTACTGCTTGTGCTGGGGTCTCTTGGAAATAGTACGTCTCTACGTCTATGTCTATCTCTTGGAAGCAGTTTGTATTTCGGGTTTTAGTTTTGTTGGGTAAAAAAGGCTCATTTTCCATATTTCTGAAATATATAGTTGTTGCATACACGGGCACACATGATGCTTACATTTTCTGGTAAGTTTTGGTCTGAGCATTTACTTTAAAAACTATGAATGTGTTCTTAGGTGAAAATTCAAACATGGGTTGATGGTGTAGAAGATGAAGAGTTTGTTGGTGTTGGTGCTAGATTTGGCACTACAATTGTGTCACAGGAAAAAAATGCACACCAAACTCGCCTCACTCGATCAAATCCCCGAGACGGTTGTGGTACTCCAAAGAACAAGGTTCTCAATTTTTTTTTCAGTTCACTTGTAATTGCATTATATTTTATGCACTGAACAGATCAATACCTTCTAATGGTGGAATGGTCCTGATTTTCTGTTAGCTTGCTGGAGATGTCATCATGGTGGATCGAGGGCATTGCAAATTCACTGCAAAAGCTAATTATGCAGAAGCTGCGGGTGCTTCAGCAGTTCTTATAGTAAACAACCAAAAAGGTTATCTGTGTTTATCTTCTTTCTGTTGGCTTGTGCTTGATGTTATTTTTACCAAAACTTACAGTAGAATGAGGTCTGGACATGAGTAGAGGTTAGGGGAAAAAGAAACAGATCTTCTTCTTCCATATGTTTAAGTGTCTTGACCCTTTTCTTTAACTGTTCTGATTCCATGATATGTTTATAGATTTGTGTTTTTTCTCATGGTGAGTCTCATGCTTGTTTTCCCTTTTGGAACTAGGGAGATATAGAACAAAATATCTGTGCAGTGTAGTTTGTAGTTTCCCTCCTGGCATTATTTGCGGCTTGGTTTGCTATAGTTGTATTTCTGAGGTTCATTTCTTCCTGCAGAACTTTACAAGATGGTTTGTGATCCTGATGAAACTGACCTCGATATAAAGATACCTGCTGTCATGCTTCCCCATGATGCTGGTACATCCTTGGAGAAAATGCTATTGAATAGGTCTTCAGGTAATCTTCCATTTGGATACAAGGAAAGGGTACTCTTAGATTATCACTTCCTTAGGTTTTTATTGAAAGGCACGAGTTTTAAGGGATTGAAGTAGTGTAGATAATGAAGGTGCTATTTTCATCATATATAACACTAGTCACTAGGTGTGCATAGTAAACATTCATGCTGATTTGTTATCACTGCAGTCTGCAGATGAATAATCAACTCAAAAGGCCATTTTCCTTATTTTTAGCAGATATCGTATGTCCTAGTGGGTGTTAATTGAATATGTCCAAGATTCGATAAAAAATTTGACTAAATCAATGCATCAATGCATCATTGGTCTAGCAAAAACAGTATCTGTATACAGGGGCAAGCTTGTGTGTATCTTGACCCAAATACCCAACCGGCAAAGGGATTATACTGGCTTTTATTGTTTCTGTATTAGCATGTGATAGTGTGACTCTATTAGAACTCTATTCATTAACTCTCACTTTCTTGGGATGTTTCACTTGGTTCTTTCAGCAAGACTTGATTTTTAAACCTTTTTATGCCTTTTAGTTACTGTACAGCTTTACTCTCCACAGCGGCCAGTAGTTGACATAGCAGAAGTATTTTTATGGCTGATGGCTGTTGGGACTGTATTGTGTGCATCATACTGGTCTGCTAGGAGTGCTAGAGAAGCAGATATAGAACATGACAAGTTCTTAAAGGTGACCTGTCTATTTCTCAAATCAATAAGTTAACCTCTTCGCATGCCTTATATTTATTATTTACAATCCCTCTTCTTCTGTAGGATGCTTTGAATGAACTTCCCGAGACTGAAACGGCTCATACTAGCAATGTGGTTGATATCAACATGACATCAGCCGTTTTATTTGTTGCCATTGCTTCCTGTTTCTTGATCTTGTTGTACAAACTTATGAGGTTCTCATGGTTCTTTGAGCTCCTAGTCGTAGTCTTTTGCATTGGGGGAATAGAGGTGTGTGCTTTCTCCTATGCCTGGATACAAGTGCTATTAACAAACATATATGTCTAGAATTTCCCTACTACTACAAAAAAAACCAAGTAAAATCCCAACTCCGTTGGAGTTCTAGGGGTCAAAATGTATTCCACACAGCCTTACCCTGTATAAACATAGAGGGCGTTTCGGTTAGGCACTTAGACCCATGATACATTGCTGCATTTATTACCCAAACCTTCTGAAAGTTTTTATATTTAGTCCATTATTCGTTGAAAGCTAAAACGTTGTCAATAATGGCTCTTTCAGCTTTATTGGCAAATGGCAATGGACGCTATATGTGTAGAATCTCATGCATATGCAATTTCCCTTAATCCCTTGTGATAGGCCAAACCAAACAAACCCAGTATATCCCACGCAAGAGTAGGGTATGGGGGATGATGTACGTAGACCTTAGCTCCACCCCAAGAGTGTTTCCCATACATAGTTATTTAAGGCGTGATGCGCACCAATGCGCAAAGGGCTTCTAGTGCCTCGATGCGCGATGCGCATCTGATGCGCACGCATCACGAACACAATGCGCATATGTAGGCACAAGTAGCATAGCATCTCTAAATAAGTAATAACACACATAGGATGTTGAAAAGCATATGAAAATTTTAGAAAACAATCAAAAATCAAATTCAAACAGTACCATATCCATATTAAAAAAACCAAAATGCAACTTATGAATCAAAATCAAATTCGAACATTACCATATTCAAACACCAATGAATAAAATACATCAATTTAATAAACAAATTGCAATTAACTAACTAATGGAATTGTTTAAATAAGAAAATTTAATCAATGAATAAAAAATTAATGAACAGATTGCATTTAAATAACTAATGAAATTG